TATCAATAACCTACCTTACTCCCTGTCTCTCTTTCTTTCTTATATGTATGTACAAAAAAAGGGGAAGATATTTAGTTTCATTTTCTTCACAGCATCATTCTTCCATTGGCTGGACCAGAAAGGAACTCAACTCCTCTTCTTTAATTTCCCCTTAGTTCACCCCAAATAGAAGCCACCAGATCCTTGTATTATCCCTGACTTGACCCAAGTCCCATCCTTCCTCCAATAAAATATGGTTCACGAGGAGTTTCAACTGTGAACTAACAAGAGAAGGAATATATCAAGACAGTGTAGGTGGAAGGAAGGGGTTGTGAGAAATGCATTTCTCCCAGTTGCCATTCACTACCCCTCTGCATGGCTGGGCAGTAGGCTTGGAAGGACCTTTAGGTTGATGTTCATGTTGATCACACCAGTAAGACAAGCCCCGTAACAATAGGAAGAAGCATAACACAAGTACCTCACACGTGTGCGAGTGGCTCACAGCTTATCCCCATGTCTACATACTTACCTTGTGTACTTCCCATAACCTTGTTAGGCTGTTATATTATCTTCTATTCTTTTTTTAAATATTTATTTATTTTTGAGAGAGAGAGAGAGAGAGAGAGAGAGAGACAGAGTATAAGCAGGAGAGGGGTAGAGAGGGAGGGAGACACAGAATCTGAAGCAGGCTCCAGGCTCTGAGCTGTCAGCCCAGAGCCCAATGCGGGGCTCGAACCAACAAACTGTGAGATCATGACCTGAGCCAAAGTCAGAAGCTTAGCTGACTGAGCCACCCAGGTGCCCCTATCTTCCATTCTTACAAAAGGAAAATGAAACTTAGAAAGGTTAAATAGAGTGCCCAATTCTTCTGAGTCCAAACCACAATGCCTTTCTGCCATCTGAGATGCTATCCCAAACAAGTGCCAGGTCTAGTAGGACGTTTCAGTCAGGGATTATTAACCTAGGTCCCAAGGAGGAGACCCCCAAAGTGGGGAGTCCATGAACTTCTTTAGGATTTATTTTCAATCACCTCTAATTGAAATTTAGGGGGCGCCTCACCTGGGTGGCTCAGTCAATTAAGCGTCTGACTTGGGCTCAGGTCATGATCTCACGGTTCGTGGGTTCTAGCCCCGTGCTGACAGCTCAGAGCCTGGAACCTGCTTGGATTCTGTCTCCCTCTATCTCTGCCCCTACCCTGCTCACGCTGTGTCTCTGTCTCAAAAATAAATAAACATTAAAAAAAACTGAAATTTAGCATTTCCTTCCATTTAGAATGTGGACAACAAACCACAGTAGTGGTAAGCGATACCTTGGACTTTGTCTCCAGGAGAAACCATGGACATTTTCACATCTATGCTGTTGTTGCAAATGTCTCAAAATACTGTTTACACTCATCAGGATTTCAGAGTTATGATTATTAAGTTCCTGCTGGATCTCATTACAGTGCATTAAAAAATAATCACATATGTTACTCTATCACCACTTTAGTAACTGTAATTCATAAGTATCTTATGCATTTAAAAGCATTATGAGGGGAGTCTGGGTGGCTCAGGTCATGATCTTGCAGTTCCGTGAGTTCAAGGCCCGCGTTAGGCTCTCCACTGTCAGTGTGGAGCCTGCTTTGGATCATCTTTCCCTCTCTCTCACCGCCTTTCTCCTGCTTGTGTGCTCTCTCTCTCTCTCTTTAAAAAATAACTTTAAAGAAAGAAATAGGGGCGCCTGGGTGGCGCAGTCGGTTGAGCGTCCGACTTCAGCCAGGTCACGATCTCGCGGTCCGTGAGTTCGAGCCCCGCGTCGGGCTCTGGGCTGACGGCTCAGAGCCTGGAGCCTGTTTCCGATTCTGTGTCTCCCTCTCTCTCTGCCCCTCCCCCGTTCATGCTCTGTCTCTCTCTGTCCCAAAAAGAAATAAACGTTGAAAAACAAAAAAAAAAAAAAAAAAATTTAAAGAAAGAAATAAAGAAAGCAAGAAAGCATTATGAGAAAGTACCTGTAGGTTCCTCATACTTGCCAAAGGGGTTTATGGTGCACACATACACTCATGCCAATGCACACACACACATACACCCATATTTCCACACAGGTTGAAGGATGCGGCAAATGGTCAGGAATTGTGTTCTCCTCTTGTTCCTGTTTATGACCATATTGTACTGCAGATATTTATATGTCTTTCCTTCCTTGCCAGCATGTGAGTTCTAATAAAGCAGGAGTGGTAGCTTCTATTCCTTTGAGCCTTCAGTGCCTAGAACGGGGCTTGGCATTCGCTGAACAATCATTTATAGAGTATCTACTGTGCATAAGGCTCAGGTCCCATTGGGGGTGGCTGAATAGTGGAAAGACTCAAAGGAGAGCAATAAATTCATTCACAAACTTGTTTGAGCATTCATTCATTCGTCCGCGTAGAGGATTATCTAATGGCTACTCAACGCCAGCCACTGGGGTAGGCTCTGGGGAAAATAGGAAAAATGAGATCTGAGTCCTTGTTCTCATAGGGCACCCATTCTAGCTAATGAAAACAAGATTTCTGAAGACAGACAGACAAATAGGAATGAGGTCACTCGTTCTGGAGAGTCAGAGTCGTAGGGAAAATCTAGTTCTCACGTCTATGTTTATTAGATCTTTTTAGCCAAAAGGTTACTGGGAGAAACCACAGGGTAGAAAATGTAGACTAAGATGCCCTTCATAAGAGGAAAAGTCTGTGGGGTCCACAGGAGGACAATTTACCTTGTTGTGTGGTTGCTGGTCTTGCCTAGCAAACCTTGTGGAAAAGTTAGTCTTCCATTGCCCCCGGTGTTTCAGGGGCCGGCCTGTCCAAAGACAGCAAGATGGATGTGTGCCCTCTCTGCAGTTCTGCTCTGCTTCAAAGATTCTATGATGCTATCAATTAGTCAGAATGTGCAAGGTTGCCTAGATACGTTGGGGCTTCTCTTTCTTGTAGGAGGCCAGAGCTGGGTGACCTCCTCAAACCTGCCAAATGTGTGGTGAGAGACCAGGTGTGGGAGAATGTGGTCGTACAACTGCCTGGATAGCTGGGCCAGATCATCCGTCCAGGCAGGAGGGCAAAGGGAGAGACACCCAGCAGAACTAGGAGAGAAAGGGATGGGGGCTGGATGTGTCTTAACACCGAAAAGGAGAGCTGGGAAAAGATAACAAGGACAGCAAGGTTTGGGGTTAAGACAAAATCTGATAAAGTGAAACATTTCCCTGAAGAAGCATAACATCCAAATACAAAGAAATAAATTTAATGAATCCATACAACATCTCTTCCGAGAAGTATAACCTTAAAATACAAAAAATAATTTCACTTTGGTAAATCTAGGTCCCACCCACAGCAGTATCTCTATCTGTGTTCACTGAATGCGTGAAAAAATATTTCCTAGGGAACCTCAACTCCTTCATCTGTCCCCAGCTCCAGCTGGCCTCTCTCTTACCCTCCTTCGGCCTCCTCCATTCTGTCTGAACATCCTGCTTCAGCAAATGGTGACAGTTATCACTAGGAATTAAGTACATACATCAAAATCAACCTGGATGATCTGGAATATTATTCTTTTCAGTCTGTAGCCCATGATAAAGGCCTGTACTTTTTCCACGGAAAATTTCTTGGAACACTTCATTTTTCAATCACGCCTCCATCTAGTAAGTATTTAGTAAGAACAGCATAGTCCTGGCTTCCCTGGAGCACTACAAAAACGTATCTAACCAAGAGCTTGCAATCTACTAGTCCAGATGAGAAATGCCTACAGGTAACTCTGTGACAAGGTAGAATGTCACAGGTGGCTCAGATTAATGGGGAGAGGGGAGGTAGAGAGAGAGAGAAAAAAGAGAGGACATCCACTGGGGCAATGGTCAGGGACAGGCCATCTCCACTTAGTTCTGGAGGGTAGAATGCAGACTAGCGGGGCCTGTGGGAGGGGCAAGTTCCAGCGAGGTAGAAGTCAGAGTGAAGTCAAAAGGCCCTTCAGTCAGCTTTAGCTGTTCAAAAGCAAGAGCTTTAGGATCATGTGATAAATGCCCAGTCACTGGAAGTATTCATTCAAATGAGATTTGGATAATTTACTAAAGATATTGTGGAAGATATTCCATATATTCCCCCCTGTTGGTAAGAAGTTTGGGCTAGAGAGATGCTCTCAGCAACTTCTGTCTCTACGTGTGCCTTATTCCACCAGCAGAGCATGAAGTCAGCAAGCGAGTCTCCCAAATGAAACATTAATACCTCATGCAAAGAATCTTGGGAAATCAAACATTTTTTATTCATTTACTGTATTCATACACCTAGCAGTCCTTTAAACAACTATCAACAGCAGCAACACGAACCACATGTAAAATGAAAACGGGTGCCCCAAATGGCACCCTCCCCGACACACACGCATATGGAGAAGCACAATCCTACAGGCTGCTGACATTACTCACTTTAAGCATGAAAAGATTCCTACAGGGCTGCCTGGAAATCAACCTTCTTCATCCTGGAGCTGATACTCCGAAGTCTTTGTTCTCTTTCCATGTTTGAAGTCAACATGACAAGTTAAGGACAAGTTAGATTAGATTTCCAGTTTATTACATGAGACCCGATCCTTCTCAAGTGTGCATCCACAAGTGAGGACCCAATCTACTATAAGCAATGGCTCAAGCATTCCAGTGGGGGACTCGGCCAGCCAGGCCTCACGGGCAGATTGCATGTATGTTTCAAGTCCAACAGCCACAGGACCCAAAGCCATAGAGAACTAGCAGCTTGGGCCTCAACTAAAAAATTTGCTAAAAGGGGATCTCTTGGGCCCAACTGCTTTGATTTTACAAGTTGGCCCATCTTTGGCCCAAATATGCCAATGATAGGTATCATTTAATGCCCTTGGAAAAAACACTGAGTAACAAAATGCTAAGAGTACCCGAGAACCCGGGATTCTCTTCCGGTCATCCAGAATGTGAAGTCAGCTAGAAGCTTGCCTGTTGGTCCCTGACCGACTCATCTGCCAGAGGAAAGGCTGGTCAGTATCCAAGGCATGTGGGGCCCAACCCTGAGGGAGTCCCTATTTCTCCTTCTGTGCCTGCTGTAACCTCTTGGCCACAGCAGTGATCAGAGCAGCTCCCTTTCCACTCCCATCTTCTGACAGCATGAGTGTCACATCACATCGAGGAGCTAGTTCTTTCACGGTTTCCTGCAATATCCGAGAAAAGCTACAAAAAAGAGAGAGAGAGAGAAACATCATCAGCACTCACATAAGGGATCAACATATTCGTGAATGATTCCAATCTAGTTTGTTCCTTCCAGCTTGCTTCTCAAGGCTCTAGAACAGCTTCATACACCTCTTCCTAAATAGCTGTTTTAATCTTACCTTTTGTTGAGTAACTACTAATGCCAGAGGCTATTCTAGGTGTTTTACATACAGAATATACATACAAAGTGTAATAACAGTTTAAAAGCATTTATTAGTATTTTCACAGCATAAAAAAAATTGATGCTCAGAAGTTAAGAAATTTTTCTAAGCTTGTACAACTAGTAAGTTATATTAGGACTTGAACCAGGCCTATCATGTTCTCAGCCTCACATTTTTTTTTTTTTTGGTTCAAAAATCCCTAAATGTTTATTTTGAAAAATTTCAAACTTACTATAGAGCTGAAAGAATAGTTTGCTGAACGCCTGAACACCCTCTGCCTACACTCAACAAAGTTATAATTTTATCCTACTTGCTTTATCCATTCACCTATCCATCCTTCCCTCCCTCCATTGATTTTCCCCCAAAGCACATAGTTGGCCTCTCTCAACTGTCCTTTGATATATTAAATCCATTTGAGGGGACATCTTGTAAGTTGAATTACCAGGGCAGTCTGTGAGGTCAAAGTATGTTTAACAGAGGCCTGGGCATCTAGGCCCCATGTCCTGTGACCCTGTGTTACCATGAATGGTACAAGTGGTGTTCATCTCTGAGGGCCAGCATGCTAGAGCAGGTTCTGAACCCGACTCCATCACACAGCCAGTGGGTGACTCTGGCCAACCGCTGATGCTCCCTGGGGCCCTACTGGTTATGTAGTAGGAGAAAGTTTGAGGTCTTCTTGAAGGCACAGCAGGGTGGTTAGCCCCCAACTTTCCAGAAGAAAGGAGAAATGGCTTAGTGGTCACAGGTCAATCAAGTCTTTCTTCCTTCCTTTCTTCTTTCTTTCTTTCTTTCTTTCTTTCTTTCTTTCTCTTTCTTTCTTTCTTTCTTTCTTTCTTTCTTTCTTTCTTTCTCTTTCTTTTTCTTTCTTTCTTTCGTTTCTTTAAGCATACAATTCAGTGTTTCTTAGCGTATTCACAAAGTTATGCAACCAGCACCACTATCTAATTCCAGAACATTTTCATCATCCTAAAAAGAAACTCCATGCCCATTAATAGTCACTCCCCATTCACACCAACCCCCAGGTGCCCCCCTACTTTCTATCTCTATAGATTTGCTTATTCTGGACATTTCATATAATGGAATCGTATAGTAAGTGGCCTTTTGTGTCTGGCTTCTTCTTTCAATTAACACGATATTTTTCAAGGTTGATCAGAGTTATAGCATGTGTCAGTACTTCACTCCTTTTTATGAGTACTAGTCCATTGTACAGATACACTACATCTTGTTTACCCACTCATTGCTTGGTGGACATTTGGACTGTTTCCCCCTTTGGTTATCATGAATAATTCTGCTATGAACATCATCAACAAGTTTTTGTGTGAACATGTTTTCAGTTCTCTTGGATACACCTCGGAATGGAATTGCTGGGTCATATGGTAACTCTATGTCTATCTTTTTCAGGAACTCCCAAACTGTTTCCCACCAGCAATGTATGAGGTCTCCAATTTTGCCATATCCTCATCAACACTTGTTAGTGTCACTCTTTTTTTATTATAGCCATCCTAATGAGTGTGAAATGGTACCTCATGGTTTTGGTTTGCATTTCTCCAGTGACTAATGATACTGAGCATCTTTCCACATGCTTATTTGCCACTTCCACATCTTTGGAGAGATGCCTATTTAGATCCTTTGCCCATTTGTTGATGGGTTATTTGTCTTTTTAATTGTTGAGTTGTAATTGTTCTATTTGCTAGGCAGAAATCCTACATCAGATATATGATTTGCTAATATTTTCCATCATTCTCTAGGTTGCCTTTCACTCTGTCGTATTCTTTGATGCACAGAAATTTTTAATTTTTATAAAGTCCAGTTTACCTATTTTTTCTTCTGTTACTTATGCTTTTGATGTCATATTTAAGAAATCATTGCTTAATCCAAGGTCACGAAGATTTATACCTATGTTTTCTCTTAAGAGCTTAATAGTTTTATCTCTTAAATTCAGGTCTTTGATCCATTTTAAGTTGATTTTTGTACATGGGATGAGGTACGAATCCAACCTCATTTTTTTTGCAGATGGATATCCAGTTGTTCCACCATTTTCTGGAAAAAATATTCTTTTCCCATTAAAAGGTCTTCGCCTTCTTGTTTAAAATCCCTTGACCATAAATGTAGGGGTTTATTTCTGAGCTCTCAATTCTAGTCCGATGATCTCTATGTTTATCCTCACGTCAGTACCACACTGTTTTGAGACTGCAGTTTTATTGTAAATTTCAAATAGAAAATTGTGAGTTCTCCAACTTTGTTCTTTTTTAAGACTATTCTAACTAGTCTAAGTTCCTTGCATTTCCATATGAATTTGAGGATCAACTTGTTGATTTCTGCAAAGAAGTCTCCTGGGATTTTGATCATGATTGTGTCGAATCTGAAGATCAATTCGTGAAGCAATGCTACCTTAACAATATTAAGTCCATTAACATAGGCTGTCATTCTATTTAGGTCTTCTTTGTTTTATCTCAACAATGTTTTCTACTTCTCAATGTACAAATCTTACATTCCTTTTGTGACATTTATTGCTAATTATTTTATTCTTTTTGATTGTGTTGTAAGTGGAATTGTGTTCTTAATTTCATTTTCAGATTGTTCATTGCTAATGCATAGAAACACAATTGATTTTGTGTATTGATCTTGCATCCTGAAATCTTGCTGAACTTGTTTAACAGTTCCAATAGTTTTTTGTAGATTATTAAGGGTTTTCTGTATACAAAATCATGTCATCTACAGACAAAGATAGTTTCACTTTTGCCTTTCCAATATGGATACTTTTTATTTCCTTTTTCTTGATTAGTTGCCCTGGCTAGACTTGCCCTTGATTTTCCCTTTGAAGTCACATATGTTTGGTCTGGTCTGACAAGCCTCTGCTTGAATCACGTCTGGACTGAGAGACAAAAACCATGCAACCATCTGGAGGCAGTGCCAAAGCAGGACAATGTTGAACAGCAGTGACAAGAGTAGGCACCCTTGTCTTGTTTCTGATTATAAGGGCAAAGCATCCAGTCTTTCACCAGTACATATGAAGTCAATTGTGGGTTTTTCATAGATGCTTCATCAGGTGGAGTCCCTTTAGCTCTAGTTTGTTGAGTGCTTTTATCATGAAAGGTACTGTATTTTATCAAATGCTCTCTGCACCTATTGAAATGATCATGTGGTTTTTGTCCCTTGGTCAAGTCTTGGTTCAAGGGAGAAGAGGTTCGCAGGAACCACATCAAAAGTAAGCGATTGCGAGGGGGGAAACAAGAAAAGATACTAGGTGGTGATTTTGGAGAATTAGTCATCACCATAGGAGGGGCTAAGGATCAGGGGTTACAATAATAGTATGTTCATGTATATATTTCAGTATGATTGGAAACTTTTATAAGCTTGTTAATACTTTTCATTTTCACCAAAGCAAAATGTTAAACATTAAATGAAAACAATAGCTTTCATCATTGACCTTTTTGTGATGTGCCATGCACTCTACAGATATGTTTAACTTAATCCTCGGGGCACCTACGTGGCTCAGTCAGTTAAGTGTCCGACTTTGGCTCAGGTCATGATCTCGTGGTTCATGGGTTCGAGCCCCGAGTCAGACTCTGTGCTGCCAGCTCGGGCCCTGGAGTCTGCTTTGGATTCTGTGTCTCCCTCTCTCTCTGTCCCTCCCTGACTTGCGTTCTCTCTATCCCTCAAAAATAAATAAACATCAAAAAATTTTTAACTCAATTCTCACAACCACTTATGAGGTAGGTAAGATTTTTGTTGTCATTTTACAGATTAAGAACTGAGGCTCAAAGAGGGTGAGAAACTGACCCTCAGCCTCCCAGCTTCTAAGTGGTGGAGCCAGGATTCAAACCTACATTTCCTGATGGGGCTGTCAATCCTTCTGTCCACTGCCTCTGAGCTAAGAAAGTTATAACCAGTTCATACTTGGCAAACGCTCTATGCTGTACAAAACACTCAGTTCTCGTCACTTCCCTGTGAGGTCAGGTGAGAATATGTTAGTAATAATGGCTTGTATTTGTGGAGCACTGTGTCAAGTACATGTAGGAACTCAATCCTCATGTGGCCCTATGAGGCGGAGATTATTACTACCTGCCTTTTACTGGTGGAGATCAGGGGGTTCAGAGAGGATGGTGAGTACTCCCACATCCTACCACTAAGACACAGAGCCACAAGGGCTCACACCTTGTCTGCTAGAGCCATGGGGTCCACTTTCAGCTTCAGCACCCTCCCATCCCCACCTCTCTGGGGCACTTACTGAGGGTGCAGCTTGTACAGGGTGCCATCCACACCCACGGTGACCTTCAGGTTCTCAAGCCCCTGGTCTTCCCTCCTCTTCTCCACGATGGCTGCCAGGCCAGCGCCATAGAGCTGGGCTGCCCGCCGGGACACAGCTCCGCACACCTCCTTCACCACAATGCTGTCCTCACACGTGCTGTCCAGGCCAAGCTGCTGCAGGATCCTCCTGACCTGGAGGAGGGCCAGCCGATCGCTGCAGACAAGCAGAGCGGGATGTCAGGACCTGCTTCGGGGGGCCCCGGAACCTGCTCCACATGGCTCACAGCCCCCCGTCCCAGATGCCCTAGGCAGAAGGAGGAGAAAATGATCCAAGAAATGGCTAAGTTAGAGCAGAATTCCACAGAAGCTGAGACTCAAGAAAGTCTGCCGCCCCCAGGAAGTCCCATCGTCTTTACAAAATAAAGCGTAGCACACAGTTTCTCACACCACGTCTAAACTCTCCCACTGAGCACGCCAGCTCCTGCTGCCCTGCTGTTTGTGAGAAGCTAGCTTTCCTTCTATTTAACTTTTTCTGATTTCCTGCTTTCTCTTCCCAACTAGACTACATGTCCTTGAGGGTAAGACTATATTCTCAGTAGTAGCCAGCATAGGGCTGTGTATATTCAGTGGGAAAGTGAAAAAATTAATATACAATGTACCATCAGCACCTTTGTGAGCAGGAATCTGCACGTGGGACCACGAGCATGTATGCACGTGCAAAGCACCCATCGCGGGGACAGGCTGGCCTTGAGTCTAGACCCTGATTCTCTCATGGTGAACTTACAGAGCTCTGACTCCCAAGCTAAACAACGTGAAATTATATCCTTGACTGCCTCAGGGAATACTTAGAGAAGAAGAATGTTACCAAGAGAGAACTGAGAAAAAAAAAAAAAAGAGA